GAATCCTTCATGGAGATACTCGACCCCTCCAATGCCCCCCTGACCCAAATGCTATCCGGCGACATGGGCGCGGCAAGACGAGGTGAGCTAACCGGGGCGGCGAGGGCCAGCCACCCCTACACACCCCAGCCCCCCCCCCGCCGCGCACAGCTCAGCCCCTCCCCCCCGTCCGCGGGAGGCCTCACACGTCAGGCAAAATGGCCCCCTGCCCACGGGCGGCCCATCCCGCGGCCCTCAGCCGCAGCAGGCCGACACCAGCGACGATTGGCTCATGGGCCGCATCGCCCAACGCCTCGACATGGCCCAGAGAGACGCCGAAGCACCCGGCATCCGACCCCCCCCCCCCTTTTCTCCCCCCGCATCGGACCGCGGCTCCATCAGCGGCGACGCCGCGCAGAGGGTGGTCAGGAAGATCCGATGCGGCGACTTCCCACCAGCAAGGAAGCACGAGGCGATCTCTCTTGCCATCTGGTTGTGCCTCAGCCCTCTCTTCACCCCACTGCTAGAACCCGTCCTTCAGGTCCGACGCATCACACCGCGCCCCTTCCAGGTCCTTGCGAGGTGGCTACGGGTCGCCAGCATTCATGCCCCTGCCTGTTTGCGAAACGTCAGCAGCTGCCCGGGGGTCCTCTCACCCTGCAAACATTTTCAGCCGAGAACAACATCGGACCATCATACAACACTTCGGGCTCCTGGCGTCGGCCACTGCGCAAGAAGCCTGCAACGCCGCAAGGGCTGGAGCGGGCGGCCTCGAGAGAGCCCCGCTGAACGCCGGCCCTCCCTTACCAGACGGGGGCGACGAAAACCGAACTGCCTACCTTGCGGAGGGCAGCATCTACGCGCGTCCATGGGGCGTCGCTCCGAAGGGAAGAATGCGCGCGATCTGCCACTCCCCTCTGGAAGAGGCTGCGCGCGCCTTCATTCCCCGCGGGCATCTTTCTCGCCGAAACTGCATTGACTTGTGGAGACATCATCAGCCAGCGGCGTTCCGAGCGGGCAGCCAATCGACGCCCGCTAGATGCCCACAATGCCGGGTAGACGACAGAGGCGCCCTCGAGGTCACATTCAGCCCCGCCAGCGCGGCAGTTGCGGGCGTCCCCGAGCATGGCAGGGCCCCAGCCAGGGACGGGGAGGTCTCGCAGCTCCCCCTCCCCCCTAGACACTGAGATGGCAGCTGCCGCGCAGGAAGTCGGGCCACGACTCGAAGGAATGCACGCCCAGCTCCTCGCCGCCGGCAGACCTGACTTGCACAGCCACATCTGAATACAGAGAAGAGGTGCAGCAACACAAGGAGACACCATGGAGGTGGACGGCAGGGGAAACGGCGATGCCCCTCCCGCAGCAGCACCAACGGCCAATCCCAATACATGGCCCCGTCAGAACACGCAGCAGACACCCCCACCTCGTGACTCCACTGGCCCCTCGAATCCCCCCAGCCCTCCCTCCCGGGAAGGCCGCCTTGGGAGCCCCCCTATCATTGACGTGGACAGATGGGCCATTCTACTTGCCCGCCCCCCGCCCCCCTCGCAAGGCGGCCGACCAGGGCGCCCCGCGTTCCCTACCGGAGTGATAGTCGCCGCGGCCAGGGCGGCAGGAGCAGACCCCGTCATTTCCGCCAGAATTCGCGCAGGGGACACCATCGCCGACGACGCCCCTTCAACCTTCGCCATCTCCGGCCCCGACGCATGGGAGATGATCGGGGACCTGGTGTTACGACGCCGCGAAAGTCAGCGGATTGACTTCGGGCGCCCCCCCGCTGTCCTCCTTATAGACGCTGTAGCCAGCCAGGTGGACGCAGCGCTGGAAGCAGCCGGCGCGGCTGGTGGCCCCGCCACCCAGCTCGCGCTCGCTGCAGTAGGAGCCCCCGTTCCTGGGGGGCCAGATCCCATAGAGCTCGCCACCACTGCGCGTGCCCTTTGGGGCACCAGAGCAGTCGGAAGGATCGCGCGCCTTGTCCCAGTCGGAGCACCATGCCAGACAGGTCGCGCCCCCCCCCCCCCTCACTAATGCAACTTGTCGCCGCCCAATCTGGAATAGCAAAGCGACCTTGCCGATTGCCGTCTCCGCCAGCCGTAGTCGTGCATTGGGGCGGACCACAGGCAGATGATGGAGATGCTCTGCACGTTCTGGTTCCGGAAGCAGCGAACGAGACTGTCGCGACCGAAATCCCATGATGGAGAAGAGACGTCGACGCCAATAGCCACGCGCACGGTCAGTGGAACACCGCCAAGATAGACTTCCCCAACAATCCCCCCCTTCTAATCAGGAGGGGGAAAAACACACACAGACATAATCAATCGTCGATTCCTTCGAAAATATGGGAAACTATGGGAATTGGGCGGGAAAACAAAAACCCTGAAACAAATGATAAAATATGGGGAATCCTTTATTTGTGTGTATTTTTTGTGTGTCTCAGGGCCCCTTCATCAAAGCACTTAACTTGAACCGCTGCTCCATCGCGTCCTACGACTCAACCACGCACTGCCCGAACAGAGGCACGTCCCCCACCGCTCCCCTGCGAAGGCCCTTCAGGCCGTCATGCAATGGGCGACGGTCGCCGCCCCAACCGCATGCACCTGGGGGATGCAGGAGTCCAGCGATTCAGTCCATGTCCGAATGTCTCCTCAGGCCATCCCCCTAGCCCACCTAATCACGGCCCTGGCAGCGCGGTCCCTGGGATGCCGGGCTGGAGCGTGCAATGCGGGGAATTTGTTGCTACAGGCGTCCGAGAGAACTGCCGCCCCAATCGTGAGACACCTTCGAAACACCGCCACCCGCACTAGGACGCGAAAGAGAACGCGCCGCTACGTCCCCGCGGAGGACACTCATGGAACGGAGGCCCCACGTTCATCCGAATGGCTGACCCAGAACTTAGCTTCCACCTTCGTTGGGATCTGGCCGACCTATGGCAGCTACCACCCGCGAGGGTGGTCGCCGCCGTTGAGGCCACCACAGGCTCTGGCTCCGTCGCTCAAGTTTCCTCAGTCTTCGCGTGGATTCCAGACGCAGCGGAGCACCAGCAGTCACAGGTCCGAGTTGCACCACAAGCGGCCGACATCATGACGGCCGCCTACGTCGCCTTTTGTTACAAGGACTGGCTGTTCGACAAGGGTCAGTCTTGTATTACGTCGCATGAGCTTGAGCTACGGCTTGCCTCCTGTCGTTTTGTCTTGCCCTCCTTTACTCATCTTTCTTTTCTGTCTTTTCTTTTATCTTTGCTCTTCCGCTCTTCGGTTCTCGCCCTCGGTTGCCTCTTCGCTTTCGCCTGCCTCTGTCTCCGCTTTGTCGCTTTCGCCACCCTTGTGGCCCCTTTTACGCATCACACTTGCGACAGTAGGGCTTGTGTTTTTCTTTCGACTTTCTCTGACGGCGCGCGGCTGACCGCGTCGATTGTGAGCAAAACGTATCCCCACCAGCCTTTTTTTCAGAAGCCCTGCCCACACGAGAGCTGACGAGGGACACAACTAGGGAAAAAGCTGGCGGCCGGGATGGACCGACAGATCTCTGGGAGCAAGGGGGTGGCCTTGCAAGGCCTCTTCGGGCCATCCCTGGGGGCCGCGTGGGGGCGAGGGGAAGAGGAGGAAGAGGAAGAAGAGGAGGTCGATCAAAAAATGGGGGGTCCTCGATTTCGGCCCCTTTCCCAGGAACCCGCAAACTCGCACCTTGGAGCTGTGTTGGGGTTCATTGGGAGGGTATTCGGGTTTTTGGGGTGTTTTTTGCAGGTTTGGGGGGCCCGCATGGGGCTCCCTTGAGGCCCTCTTGGGAGCCTTGGAAGGCCTCTTGCAAAGAGGCCAACATGGTAGCCAAAACCTGAGTACAAACCAGTGATGTTGGTTTCCTCGCCGAAGCCGTTTTGGACGCCGTGACACCTCGCGAAACCACCCAAACAAGTCCAGGGGAAGACTTTCCCAAGACCGCCCAAGAACCCCCAAGATTGCTCCAAGACGGGCCAAGAAGGCCCCAAGACGGCCCCACGACGGCCCAAAAGCGCACCAAGGCAGCCCACTAGACCTCCAAAATGGCCCGAAAAGTTACCCAAGAGGGGGAATGCAAATCGACAATCCCAGCGTTCCACTCGTGCACCACGCCAGGGCCCACGCCTGGCCCTGGCCAGGCATGTTTCGGAGGGGGAGAATAAGCACACAGACACAAAGCATCGTCGATTCTCCGGAATGTGTGTATATAGAGATGTATGTATATATACACCTATATACACATACATACATACATACATACATACATACATACATAAATACATACGTACATCCATCCATCCATCCATCCATACATACATACATACATACATACATACATATCGATATACATATACATATCTAGGTTTGCGGAAAACACGGGACGTGGAGGGGAAGACGAACACCCAGGAGACAGGGAACACATGGGGGATCCCGGTTTGGGTGTCCATTTGTTTGGGTGTTTGGGGGCCCCTTCGGTGTTGGTGCATAGGTGCCCTCTTGCGTGATCTCCGCGTTCCGCGCCGCGTGGAGCAAGCGGCTGCTACCAGCTATCACATGGAGTGAGTGCCGAGGGCGCGCGCTGACCCCTGCGGCTGCGGCGGCCGCGAAACGCCATGACGGCCGCGTGACCCCTGTGGGGAGGAGCGGATTTTGGTTGTAGATTCGGGGGAGAGGACCAATACTTCCGACGTCCTGACAAGCCAGGCGATTTTTTTTGTCCAAGCCTCCGGGAAGGGCTCGAGGTTCTGTCAAGCAGAGGTTGTCAGGGGCGAAAGCGGGATCCTTGGGCCGGGAAGTCCTAAGACCCTGAGTCAGGACAAACAGGGCATCGGAGGTCTGGGCCCAGGTGGCATGGTGAGGTCTGGAGCGAGCGTTGCGGTGCAAAGTGCGGTGCGGAAGCACCTGCGCAGCGCGACGGGTGCAGACGCATACAGTGGGGGCGCGCATCAAGAAACCATGCGCTTCTCGTCAGGGTACCATGGGTTTCTTCGCTTCGCGCGCTGCGCGGTGGCTCCCCGCGGCCGTCAGAGAAGCTGCTGCGTTCAGGGTGCTCCGGGTTTCCCCTCAGGGGCACCTCGCGTGAGGGTTTTCGGGGTTGGGTTTCTTGCGAGGGTTTCTTGCTACCGCGCCCGCACTGTGTACGTTCACGCAGCTTGATCAATCAGTGATCACATCGCAGGCTTCAGCTGCCGCCCGTTTTTTTCTGCATCTGCACCTCCGTCGTCTCTGTATCAACTCTTCTGCTTTGTGGAATATCTGTTGATGTCTCGGCTTTCGCGCCGAGGCAGCTTAGTGCCACTATCCACCGTCCGTGTAAAGTAGGTACTTCTGGGTTTCCGTAGTTCAAGTATTTTAGATGCATCGAGTAAGTTTCTTCATTCTCTCTTCACGGGGAGAAGCCCGCTGACCAAATCTATTTCCGAAGCGTTCGTATCTCATGGTTCCACCCACGTCTTCGATTGGCACCTGCGATGTAAGCTTACCTCTTCATGTGCGCTGTGGCTCCTCCATGAGTTCCACTCCGCTTGTTCCTCCTCCTCTTTGTCGTGGCTCGTTCATGAGTTCCACTCCGCTCTTACTCCTCCTCCTCCTCCTCCTCCTCCTCCTCCTCCTCCTCCTCTTTGCCGTCTTCCTCCGCATCTGGCACGTTTCCGCAACCGCCCGTCCTCCTCGGCGCGTGTGGCTTCCGCTCCAGGCCTCGTCCGGGCAGGCGCGCAGACGTCGCTTTCTCTCGTCTCCTGTCTCCTGCTCACCGCGTCTCGCCCAGAACCTCGTCGAGGGGAAGGCGAGCACACGATTGCTCCACTTTCTGACTGAGGAGAAGGCGAGCACACGATTGCTCCACGATTGCTCCACGTTATTGTCTCCTGCTCACCGCGTCTCGCCCAGAACCTCGTCGAGGAGAAGGCGAGCACACGATCGCGCCACGTTCTGACTGGGGGCCTCGGTCGCCTCGAGCCACAGCACAGCAGCGCGGCGAAACTCCTGGAGGCCTCGCGCGGCGCGCGCGCTCTGTTCTGTGCCGGTCCGCGCGTCTGGTCCGTAAGAATCTGGGGCTTGCACAAAAAAACCCAGGATTGCACAAAAAAACCCAGGATTGCACAAAAAAACCCAGGATTGCACAAAAAAACCTAGGTTTTTTTGTGCAATCCAGGGTTTTTTTGTACAAAAAAATGCTTCGTGCGGCGGCGCTCCGACGCGAGGCCGTTGGAAGTGTGGCCTTGTCGTTGCCGCGGGAGGCCTCCAGAATGTTGCCCGTACGTGTCCTCACGGCCACCTGGCCGTCCAGATGGCCTCGTTGGACGAGGTCGTCTGAGGGCGCCGCACGGCTTGGGCGCGGCGCCCCGTCATCCTTTACGGGTCGCCGCGCGCGCGCCGCGCGCCCGCCTCCGGGACCTGATCGCTTGCGCTGCGTGCGGGAGAATCCTCCTCCTCCTCTCTGGATTTTCTTCCTCGTCCAGCTCCGCGACGTCACGACCCCAGGGGGGGAGCCACGACCGAGCGAGCCGCGGGGCCGTGCCCCTCTCACTTCACTTCAGGTGGTGTCACCGGGCCAGCCACCGGAACGCTTGGTTGGCTGTCAGGGATCCTGCCCTGCCTGCTCGTCCAGTCCCCACGATCACCGTTTGCCCCTCCAGGGGGGCCGCACCAAACCGCGGCAGCCATCCGCGTGCCCGTCTGTTTGTCCAGGATCGTGTTTCTCCCGTCCCACCAGTCCCAGCAGTACCCCGCCAGGCCGTGCCATTTTCATATATACTGCTATTCATCAGTTCCTGTGCCCTTCCCGCACCACCAATCCCGCCAGCTCCGCTTCCCTCCGAAGATGGAGGGCTCTCAGATGAGGAGACAGAGCCGGGGGGGAGGAGCATCTACTCCTTCCCCCCTCTGGTTCTGAGCCTTCCTCGAGCGCGCGACCTAGCCAGAGTCCTCATGTCACACGAGGGCCCCAAACTCAGAAGTGTTCTGTGTGTCTTGGTCCCATACAGGGTCCGGCTTGAATGAGGAACATTCACTTTTCAAAGGGGTTCGGTCCTTCCTTTGGTTCGAGTGCGCTCCGTGACCTCCTTGGCGGCGGGCCCCTCTGGTGCTCCTTCGGACTTTCCAAAACTACTTGGAAAAAAAGGGGCTCCATTCCTGATCTGTCGCTCCTTGGGTCAGGCCGAATACCGCAGCACCACTGCTCCACGTGCCCATGCCACGCCCGACAATTCTCGCCCGACAACGCCCTGCCGCCTACACCCGCCGTCGACCTGGCCCACAATCCCAATTCCACGGGATCTCTGTCCTTGGGGCCTCCCACTCGAAAAGTTCCCTACCTAGGCTCTGCCTAGAAGGGTTCTTACCCTCTTAGCCTAAAGGGGCCGGGCAGTGCAAAGCGCCCCGGGCGGGTTCCCCAGGATCCGCCCCGCGGTTCCCCCAGTTGCGCCCCCTGGGTTCACCCAGCTTAACTTAGCTTAGCTTCGCTTCGCTTCGCTTAGCTTAGCTTAGCTTATCTCATCTTAGCTTAGCTTAGTTTTGCCTAGCCTAGCTTGGCTTAGCTTAGCTTAGCTTATCTTAGCCTAGCCTAGCTTAGCTTAGCTTAGCATAGCTTAGCTTACCTTAGCTTAGCTTAGCGCGGCGCAGCATAGCGCAGCGCAGCATTAGCACAGCATAGCATAGCATAGCCAAGCATAGCATAGCATAACATAGCACATCATAGCTCAAGATATCAGAGCATATCATAGCGTATCATATCATAGCGCAGCATAGCGCAGCATAGCATAGCATAGCATATCATAGCTTGTCATAACATAGCATTGCTTAGCATAGCACAGCGCAGCATAGCATGGCATCACACAGCACCGCATAGCATAGCACATCATAGCGCAGCTTAGCAGCATAGCATAGCATATCATAGCGTAGCATAGCATATCATAGCATAGCGCAGCATGGCATATCATAACATCGTCTAGCATAGCACATCATAGCGCAGCATAGCATAGCCTAGCCCAGCACAGCACAGCATTGCGCAGCACAGCATAGCACAGCACAGCGCAGCACGGCATCCACGATTGCTGCTGCTAAGGTTGCTTTCCTAGAGGCTCCAACTCCTAGACAGGGTCGCGCTGGGATACTTCTCGCCTCGTTCCTATGATTTGTCGCTCCTCAGGTCAGGCCGAACACCGCAGCACCGCTGCCCCGCGCGCCCGGGCCACATTGACCCCCCGCGACCGCCGCTCCTCCGCTCGCCCTCGACGCCCGCGCGCGGCCTGTTCCGTTCCCTATTCGCCGCTCCTCGGGTCGGGCCGAATACTGCAGCCTTTTCTGTCGCCTCTCCCTTCTCCTCCCCCTCCTCTTTCTCCTTCATCTGCTTATTCTCCTCTTTCTCCTCGTTCTCTTCCTCCTCCTCATCCTCATCCTCATCATCATCATCATGTCCCCCTTTTCCCCCTCCGCCCTTCACCCCTCCTGCTCGTGATCCTTCTCTTCCTCCTCCCCCTCCTTCTCCTCCTCACGTGCCCAGGCCACGTTGACCCCCCGACCGCCGCTCCGCCGCTCGCCCCCCGACGCCCCCACGCCGCGTGCGCCCGCTGACGCCTGCCTCCCGCCCTGTCCCCGAGCGGCGCCCCGCTCCGTGCCCTGTTTTCGCCCGCTTCTCTCGGAGGTGGACGGACCTCCTGCCCCGACACGTCGATTTCGGGGGCGGCAAAGAGGGGGGTGATGACTAGGGAGGGGGTGGATATCATGGCGGGAGGCCATGATATTTCCCCAGATTTCAGGGCGCCTCTTTTTATTTCACCACGTCCCTGGCCCCCCCCCAAAGGGCCGCGCACATGCCGCCGGCCATGATTTGCACCCCCCCTCTTGGACGCCCCCCTCTTGGCCGCCCCCGACGATTGAGGAACTGGCCGTTCAAAAATAATCAAAAACAGTCGGAAGCAATAATACGGGGACGATTGTTGGATTATTTCTGGTTAGTTGTGAATATATGTTGAATATGCTTTCCATCTGTCCTCTAAAATCCGCCTGTATGGGGACATGCCCGACCTAACTCTACTCGGAGGTTGATAGACTTCCTGCCCTGGCACGTGGATTAGCGAATTGGCCGTTCTCGGTTCGCGAGAGGGGGCCGCGGCCGTCATTTTTTTGCGGGTCCAGGTCCGTCGGTTTCGGTCCGAGGCCGTTTTCACCAAGGGGAGGTTTACTAAAGGGAGGTCTGTCCACCGCCGATTCTCGGGCCGGACGAAAGGGGGGAACGGGGAAAGGGGGGGGGTTGGAAATCTGCTGCATGCAGCTGGTTTCGGCCCCGCCGCGGGACCCATTCCTCGATGCATGGGCGCCTCCTGGCGCCGCGAGGCGCTGGGAAAGTCGGCTACGTGAGCCGATTCTCACCCCCCCCTTTGCTATCCCTCCCTTTCGCCCAGCCCGAGTTTCGTTGCGCCTCACGCTCTGCGTGAGTTTTGCCACATGTCCAAGCATAGCGGTCGTTTCGTAGGCGCATTCGTTCAAGCAGTGGTGTCCTGGCTCGCCTATAGCCCTACCAATAAATGTTCTAAGAACCGTTTGGCGTTCCCACGAAATGTTCTTAGAACATTTCTGGCTGGGACTGTCTTGTTTTATCGCATCGGGCGTATGTTTTAAGAACCTTGTTTTTGTTATGAGAGCATTTTGGGGTTCAAAGAGCATTTCGTGGTAGGACTATAGGAGTGCCGGGACGGTCGGTCCCTGCTGAAGGATGAGGCAGGAATGTGAAACAGTTAGAACATGCATGTGCTCCAGTGCGTGCTCTGTCTCTGTCTCGCTCACTCTCGCTCTCCCTCTCTCACTCTCTGTCTCTCTCTCTCTCTCTCTCCTTCTCCCGCTTCTCTATCCTATCCCCCTCTCCCTATCGTTCTCCCTCTCTCTCTGTCTCTCTCTCTCTCTCTCTCTTTCTCCCGCTTCTCTATCCTATCCCCCTCTATCTCTCTCGCTCGCTCTCTCTCTCTCTCTCTTTCTATCCCTTGGTTTGATTCTCTCTCTCTCTCTCTCGTTCTCCCACTCTCTCTATATCTCCCTTCCCCTCTCATTATTCAATGTGCCGTTGCCTCGGATCAAGGTTTGATAGGTTCTTCGGCTAACGCAGAACTTAGTTGACATGTGATTCGGTGGCGCGCACAAGAGGGTGGCGCGAAGGGGGTGGCGTGGCCTTCTAAGAAGATGGGGAGCCTCGAAGAAGCTCTTGTGCAGGCAGAGTTTGCTCACTCGCCCTCCTTCGAAGAAGCAGAACATCGCCATAAACATAAACCGCTCCGCGCGGATTTCTTGGATCCGCGCTGGGCTCCCCCGGTGGAGCCTCCGGCGCCGCCCCTGGCGCGCTCCGCTCGCCAGGGAGGGGGCCCAGCGCAGACCCAAGGAAGCCGCGCGGAGCGCCAAAAGGTTCTGTTCATGGCGGTTGTTCTCCTTCTGCTCTTGATGGGCCAGTCTTCCACCACCACCACATGCAGGACGGGGGAGAAGGGATGATGGGGAAGTCCTCCGCCTCCTCCTCCTCCTCCTCCTCCTCCCTCCCCTACCTGTGGTAGTGGTGGTGGAGCATCGGCCCGGCAGCTCCCCGCCCCTCCTCCCCTCCTCCTCCTGAGGTGCCGCGGCCCCCCGCCCCGGGCACGCGCGGCCGACGACCAGGGGCCGTCGCGAAAAGTTCGCGATGCGGGCAGAAACGGCGCCCGCGCCGCCAGAGCCTGCGGCCAGGCGTCGGAGGAGGCAAAGGTACATATGCCGCTCTCCTACGTCGGGCGTGCCCACGATTTTGGGATTATTCCTGGTTGCTTTTGAATGTATGTTGAACATGTTTTTATGTGTCCTCCAAAATCCGCCTGTATGGGGACATGTCCGACCTAACTCTACTCGGAGGTTGATAGACTTCCTGCCCTGGCACGTGGATTAGCGAATTGGCCGTTCTCGGTTCGCGAGAGGGGGCCGCGGCCGTCATTTTTTTGCGGGTCCAGGTCCGTCGGGTTCGGTCCTAGGCCGTTTTCACTCAAGGGAGGTTAGTCCACCGCCGAGATCGGGGGCGGCAAAGAGGGGGGCGATGACTAGGGGGGGGGTGGATATCATGGCGTGGGCCATGATGTTTCCCCAGATTTCATGGCGCCTCGTCTGATTTCGATGCGTCCCTGCCCCCCCCCCCTGGGCCGCGCACACATGCCGCCGACCATGATCTGCGCCCCCCCCCTCTTGGACTCCCCCCTCTTGGCCGCCCCCGACGATATACGAATATCCTGCCCTCGTCGCCGCCGCCGGATGCGCCCTGAAAAGACTGACCCCGCCGCACCCCGAGAGCGGTCCGGGGAGCAGCGGCATCGGTACCCTTTCGGTTTCCCCAAGGAGGCGAGAAGCCCCCAAACGGGGTGGTGACCACACCGTGCGGCGAGTCGGTGGGAATTCGGGGTCACCGCACGGTTTTGGGACTCGGGTCGTTCTTCGAGGACGTCTCGGGCGGCTGGGGCCTCCGGGGTCGTAAGACCGTGCGGTGACGGACCGTGCGGTGAGGCCTTGGGGAGGAGGAGGAGGAGGAGGAGGAGGAGGAGGAGGAGGGGAAGGAGGAGGAAGAGGAGGATGAGGAAGAGGAGGGATTTCGAGGTCACCACACGGTTTGTCACCGCACCGTTTCGGGATTCCAAGAAAGAGGCGAGCCAGCACCAGCGGGGACGTGGCGTGGGACGGGTCTGGCAGCTTGTTGTAAGTCTGGCCTGTCCTTCTACAGGGGGAATTTTCAAAAATAGACAAAAGAATAGTCTGGGGACTATTATTTGAGTATGTTTGGGCATCTTTTGAGCTTCTTTTTGCTATTTTTCATTCTTCCTCCCAAGTCCCCCAGTAGAAGAGGGACAGGCCCGACTTGAAGCCTGTTGTTCCCGAGGGTCCCCGAGGCCTCCAGGCGCGGCGAAGAAGACGCGCCGGCCTCGCTGCAGGGGCGGCCAGGTGGTGGACCGATGGGGGCTATCATTAAGTCGGGCCTGTCCTCCTACAGGGGGATTTTCGACGAAAAATAAAAAATACCCAAAATCTTGTCAAAAAATAGTCAAAAAATAGTCTGGGGACTGTTTTTTTAGTATTTTGTTTACCTTTTTGGGGTATTTGGGGGGTATTATTTTTCGTTGAAGATCCCCTTGTAGGGGGACACGCCCGACATAAGGCTATCAACACAACGAGTCGCGACGGACGACCAGTCCCAGTGTTGTGGTCGAGGCGTCCGGGGACTACGCCGTAGCAAACGTGTAGGCAAGTCGAAGACGCCTACGGCGAATCACCGCCGCCCCCCTGCCTTTGGGAAGCGCCCGAGTGGCCGGACTTTGCGGCCAGAGCTCGCTCAGCCGCTGTGGAGCCTTTCGGGGAACACGTTGGGAGGGAAAAACAAGAGAAGGAGAGGGAAGAAAAAAGAGGAGGAGGAGGAGGAGGAGGGGGAGGAGTAGAAGAAAGAGGAGAACGAGGAGGCCTCTTGGGAACCTCTTGGGGCACTCTTGGGAGCTCCTGGGCTCGTCGGAAGCCGTCTTGGGTGCATCTCTGGTCCGACTTGGGGCCCTCTTGGGGCGCTTCGGGGCAGTCTTGGAGACCATCCTGGGCGTCTTGGATTCATGGGCCGTGCGGTGGCCATCTCGGAGGCGTCTCGGGCGCTCTTGGGGCCTCCTTGGTGGCCTCGGGGGCCACCTTGGGCGATCTTGAGGCCATCTCGGGCTGTCTTGGGGCCATTGTAGCCGTCTTGGAGACCATCTTGGCCGTCTTGGAAGCCATCTTGAGGTCGTCTGTAGCAGGAAGACCCATGACCCGGGCGTTTGGCGGAGCTTTGCGTTGGTTGGTGCATGAGGCCAAAGGCCCCTTGGAATTTTTGAGAAAGGGCCAGCAATTCCTGGCAATACCGCAGGGGGCAGCGGAGAGTTGCTTTCGGCCCAAGCACTGTGGGTTGTGGGTCAGAGTCCTCCGGCATGCCTCTTGGCCTGTCGTGGCCGCTTAGGGGCCTGTTGGAAATCTGGGGGCCATCTAGCGCCATCTCTGGAGGGGCGTGCGCCCGAAGCTCCGTCGCTTTCCCACCCTTGAGGCCTCTCAGGGTGTCTTGGGGCCGTCTTGAGGCCTCCTTGGAGGCCTATGGAGCCTGCTTACAGCACCCTTAACCATTACCCTGGCACACGGGCACCCCGTTCGCAGCCCCCCAGGGATGGCGAGGTCCCGTTTTGATATGTGTCGCACCACGCTGAGTTGGGCCCGTCATCATCACTACCACTGCTACTACGAATATTCCTACGACCACGATACTAATATTAATATTATTCGTACTACTACTACTACTACTACTGCTACTGCTACTACTACTACTACTACTACTACTACTACTACTGCTGCTGCTACTACTACTACTACTACTATTACTACCACTACTACTACTACTACTACTACTACTACTACTACTACTACTACTACTACTACTACTACTACTACTTCTACCACCACCACCACCACCACTACTACTACTACTACTACTCCTACTACTACTACTACTACTACTACTACTACTACTACTACTATTCCTACGACTATTCCTACTACTACTACTACTACTACTACTACAAATACTACTAATACGATTAATACCATTTATTATTACTACGAATATTACTGCGAGTGCAATTATTTATCCTATTACCACGGCTACTACTTCTACTACGACTGCGACTTTTACTACGTGTACCATTATCCCGACTACTACTACTACTGTAAGTTTGACTATTACTACTACCACTACTCCTATTACTACGACCTAATACTACTGATGCTACTACTATTATTACTACGGATATTACTACGAGTGCTAATACTTCTACTATTAACACGGCTACTACTTCGACTACTACGATTGCGACTTTTACTACGATTATCATTATTACGACTATTAGTACTACTGCTACTTTGACTACTACTACTACTACTACTACTACCACTACTACTACTACTACTACTACTACTACTGCTACTACTTCCACTGCTACTACTATTACTACTACTACTACTACTACTACGACTACTACTACTACTACCGCGCTACCGCTGCCTCAATCAGAACGACCACTACCTGTACCACGACGACTATTTATGCTACGACTGCCTGTCGTGCCGCGCCACGCCTACTACTGCTAATTTTACCACTACGACTGCTACGATTATTACTACTACTGCTACTACTGCTATTATTACTACTGCGACGACGACGACGACATCTACTCCTTCTACTTCTAGTACCACGACTACGATTATTTCTATTGCTATGACTACTACTACGACGACTACTTCTACGACGACTACCACTACCACGACAACTACTAATCATACTCCTTCTCTGTTGTTCGTACTACCGTTGCAGCGCCTCCTCGTTCCACTACTACTACTTCTATTACTACTACTGCCGCTGTTTCTACTACTACGATTGCGATTAGTATTACGACCCTTACTCAAACTACTACTACTACTACTACGACCCGTTCTACTAGTAATAGTCAGAGTACTACTGCAACTACTACGACTACTACTACTACTACTACTACTACTACTACCTCTACTACTACTGCTACTACTACTACTACTACTAGTACTACTACTACTACTACTACGACTACTACTACTACTACTACTACCACGACTACTACTACTACTGCGACTACTGCGACTACTGCTACCACTACCACTACCATTACTACTGCTCATACTACTACAACTACTACTACTATTACCACTACTACTACTACTACTACTACTACTACTACTACTACTACTACTACTACTACTACTACCACTACCACTACCACTACCACTACCACTACCACTACCACTACCACTACCACTACCACTACCACTACTACTACTACTACTACTACTACTACTACTACTACTACCACCACTACTACTACTGAGCGTTTCAACCATTCGGCATTCCTTAGTGCTAGAAGAACGTTCCTTGCAGGGTCGGTGCGATACCTTGGGGTGGACCACCCCATAGGATGGCCGACTACAGTATTTTCTCATTGGGCATGCCACAGGAATCGTATAGGAAGGGCGGTGAGGAGGAAAGAGAGAAAGAGAAGGAAGAGAAAGGAACGAAGACCCCATACCATGCTGTTGAAGGGAGGTTGCGAGTTTGTGCAGTGTTACTGATAGCACCTCTTCAAATCCGCCCCCGCGAATTATTTGTTGCCGTTTCGGTGCTAACGACAACACCGGGGGATTTCGGAATGGCTTTATGAGGTTAGCCCCCTTCCCCCGAGGACCGTGCGGATTCGCTATCGGGGGCCTGTCCCCGAACTATCGGCGATGTATCGCCGATTCCAGATTGATGTGCCCCCCCTGGGCCAGTCCCCCCCGTTGTATGTTGCCCCGCAGCGAAGACGACGCCGCCGCCGACAACGACGACGACGACGTCGACGAGGAGCACCGCGAGGACGACGACGACGACGATGACGACGACGGCAACGACGACGACGACGACGAAAGCTTTGCGCTTCTCGGAGCTGCGCGCGATGTTCCTCGGTCGGCGCGCTCCGCACGCCGGGGACGGGGCTACAGCGCCGACTCAAGAGATCCGCGCGGACCTCCGAGACATTTTCTTGGCCTGCACGAGGGTCGCTGAAGGTAAGTATTTCTGGATTCCCAGATCTCCGTCTACCTTTAGGC